AAGAAACGCCCTAACCTTTGGAATAGAAATTGACAGGATTAAAATCAACTGGTATAAATACAGATGTAGCAGGAGAAATAAACACAACCTGGCTGGAGACCCTGGCTAGAACCTGGCTAGAGAACCTGGCTAGACTGCTGATCAACTGAACACTGTCTCCGTGTCATTCCTTCTTTGCCGACTCCATCCACACCTTTGGGAATCCCTGGACCTGCTGGGGTTGAACTCCAACAAGTGGCGCCCAACGTGTGGCACGAACCCACGACCCTGAGATTAAGAGTCTCATGCTCTTCTCGTTCACAGGTGGAAGCATGTCCCAGGCTGGGGGGACCTCCAGTTTCAGTATTGGCTCCATGGGGAGTTCGGCCCAGCCCACGACACTTGCTGGGTTGGCCTTCACTCCAGCCACACCAGCAGCCACTGGAGCAGGAACCACACAGCCAGCTGCTCCCGCACCCAGTGCTGTCACCACCAGTGCTGGACCCACACTCTTTGCTTCACTAGCTACTGCTCCAACCTCATCTGCTGCCACCGGGCTCTCCCTTGGTGCCCCAGCAACCACAGCTGGAACATCTGGGCCTGGAATGCTGGGCTTCAGCCTAAAGGTTCCTCTAGCAGCTTCTACCGCATCCACAGCTACATCCACCGTCACCAGCACCACCAGCACCAGCAGCTTCTCCTTGAATCTAAAACCCCTGGCATCAGCCAGGATCCCCAGCAATGCGCCCACTGCCATAACCGCTCCGTCTGGCCCCAGTGCAGCCACTGGGGTGTCCACCAGTCCCGTGATGACCTATGCCCAGCTGGAGAGTCTGATCAACAAGTGGAGCCTGGAGCTGGAGGACCAGGAGCGGCACTTCCTGCAGCAGGCCACCCACGTCAACGCCTGGGACCGCACGCTGATCGAGAACGGGGAGAAGATCATCACCCTCCACCGCGAGGTGGAGAAGGTGAAGCTGGACCAGAAGAGGCTGGACGAAGAGTTGGACTTCATCCTGTCGCAGCAGAAGGAGCTGGAGGACCTGCTGAGCCCTCTGGAGGAGTCCGTCAAGGAGCAGAGCGGGACCGTCTACCTGCAGCATGCCGACGAGAAGCGCGAGAAGACCTACAAGCTGGCCGAGAACATCGACGCACAGCTGAAGCGCATGGCCCAAGACCTCAAGGACATCATCGAGCACCTGAACACGTCCGGGGGCCCCGCCGACACCAGCGACCCGCTGCAGCAGATCTGCAAGATCCTCAACGCACACATGGACTCCCTGCAGTGGATCGACCAGAACTCGGCCCTGCTGCAGAGGAAGGTGGAGGAGGTGACCAAGGTGTGCGAGGGGCGGCCCAAGGAGCAGGAGCGCAGCTTCCGGATCACGTTCCACTGAGCCCGTGGCCGGGCCGCAGCGCCGCGGGTTCCCAGTGTGTTCAGTGGGGGAGTGTGCGGTTACTGTTTGTTAGCTTTTGTTTGCAATGAAATACTGTTTGGTTCTCTGTTTCTTTCAAACAGGTTTTTTGTACAATAAAGTTTAATCACAATTTTAAAAAATGAAAGTAGGGAAATCTGCACACCCTCCCCCTGCCCCAACATTCCACTGGCTATGAAAGAGGCCCAGAAGGACCAAAAATGAATATTACCAAAGAAAGTCTCATTCAATCCCCACAAAGGAAACAGATTTCTGTGTTTGTCCATACTTCCTTCTCTTGTAATGCCAAACTCTGCAGAGAGAGCTTTGCACATGTTCCCAGCATTCAGACAGTTTACATGTGCTTCTCATTCTCTTGCTTTTCTTGATAGCTTTGCTACATATATCTGCATCCCTGGACAAAAGTGTTTAGCTCTGTTTATTGTCTGTATTATTTTGCTGGGACTGTCATAACAAAGTACCACAAGCTGGGTGACTTAAACAATAGAAATTTTTTGTTTCACAGTGCTGGAGGTTAGGAGTCCGAGATGGAAGAGTTGGCAGGGTTCTTCTGAGGACTGTGAGGGAAGGAGCTGTTCCAGGCCTTTCTCCTTGGCTTGTGAACGGCCATCTTCTCCCTGTATCTATGTGCATTATTTCCTTCTAAGCATGTCTGTTTCTGTGTCCAAATTTCCCCTTTTTATAAGGACATCGGGCATATTGGATTAGGGCTCACGCTAATGACCTCACCCTAACTTAATTAACTCCTTAGAGAATTTGTTTCTACTAAATAAGATCACATACTGAGCTCTGGCCGGTTTGGCTCAGTGGATAGAGCGTCGGCCTGCGGACTGAAGGGTCCCAGGTTCGATTCCGGTCAAGGGCATGTGCCTTGGTTGCGGGCACATCCCCAGTGGGGAATGTGCAGGAGGCAGCTGATCGGTGTTTCTCTCTCATCGATGTTTCTAACTCTCTATCCCTCTCCCTTCCTCTCTGTAAAAAATCAATAAAATATATTTTTTAAAAAAAGATCACATTCTGAGGTACTGGAGGTTAGAACTTAAACATATGAATTTTAGGAGGGACACAATTCTACCCATTAAACTGTCACAAATAGGGGTTCTTAGGGAACTAGACTCTGAGATGGGGTTTAGCATCACAGTGTTTGTCAAGGCTTGTGCTTGGGATCAACATCTGGGAAAGACAGGGAAAGGGAGCAGGATCAGGCAGATGGAGGAGTCAAGTTGTGATGCAGACTCAGCAACTGCCTTAGCCGACCCCACAGGACACTCTGGAGCAACAATAGTCCTTTAGAATTGTCCCAAGTTGGGCCAAGATGGCCAGAGCTCTATACTATCACATCAATCAGTCATTAGACCTGGCCACCTTAGGAAAGGGCATGACCTTGGGCGAGAAAGCTCTCTGCAGTTGAAACAATCTCTGAAGGGACTGATGGTTGGGGCCAACAGCACTCCCAGCAGCCAGGGCAACAAGCCCTCAGTAAAGGGGGATCTATCTGGGCAGTGCTTCACAGAGCCCACCACACTAGCTTTGAATTCTATAAAAATGGAATATGTTTTTTGCAACTTGCTTTTCAAAATCTTTCACATATATTTTCAAACACGTTCAAAAGTAGAATAGTATAATTAACCCCTACATACCCATCATCTAGATACACGAATAATCAAGATTTCACAACACTTGCTCATCTCTTTATCTCTCTCTCCATTTCGCTCTCCCCCAGCTCTTTTTATTATGTACTGGTTTCAGGTATACAGCTTAGTGGTTAGACAATCACACACTTTACATAGTGTTCCCCTCAATATTTCCCATCTGGCACCATACATAGCTATCACTTTATTATTGACTATACTAGAGGCCTGGTGCATGAATTGGGGGCGTGGAGAAGGTTGGCTGGCCAGAGGGAGGGGATACGGGAGGTTGGCCAGCCACAGTGCACGTCATAGCGACAGGTCATTCTGGTCATTCAGGTCATTCCAGTCTTTCCAGTCGCTTGGCTTTTATATATATAGATTTCCAATGCTTTACTTCCTTACCTATGACTATTTTGTAGCTACCAATTTATGCTTCTTAGTCCCTTCATCTCTTTTACTAATTTCCCCAACCCTCCCCTCTCCTCTGGAAATCATCAGTTCCCTCTCTGTATCTAAAAGTCTGTTTCTATTTTGTTTGTTTATTTTGCAAGTGAAATCATATGGTACTTGTCTTCCTCTGACTGACTTATTTCACTGAGCATAATACTAGATCCATCCATGCTGTCGCAAATGGTAAGATTTCATTCTTTTTATGGGCAAGCAATATTCCATTGTATATATGTGCCAAAGGTTTTTTATCTACTTGTCTATTGATGGGCACTTGGTTTGCTTCCATAGCTTGGCTATTGTAAATATTACTGCAATGAAGATAGGGGTGCATATATTCTTTCGAATTAGTGTTTTGGGTTTCTTTGGATAAATCCCCAGAAGAGGAATCACTGAGTTGTAAGGCAGGTCCATTTTTAATCTTTTGAGGAAACTCCATACTGGTTTCCATAGTGGCTGCACCAGTCTGCATTCCCACCAACAGTGCACTAGGGCTCCCTTTTCTCCAACTTCTTGCCAACACTTGTCATTTGTGGATTTATTGATGACAGATATGAGATGATATCGCATTGTGGTTTTAATTTGCATTTCTCTGATTATTAGTGCCGTTGTGCATCTCTTCATATGTCTATTGGCCTTCTTTATGTCCTCTTTGGAGAAGTGTCTAGTCAGACCCTCTGCCCATTTTTTTAATTGGGTTGTTCATTTTTTTGGTATTGAGTAGTATGAGTTCTTTATAAATTTTGGATATTAACTCTTTATCAGATGTATCATTGGTGAATATGTTCTCCCATTTAGTAGAAATTAGCCACTTCTCCACTAAGCCCTGATTTTTTTATTTAGTAGAAAATATTTTTCAAATAAACTTTTTGTTGTAGAACAGTTTTAGATTTACAGAAAAGTTATGAAGATAGTACAAAGAAGTCTCATATACCCCATACCCAGTTTCCCCTATTATTAGCATCTTAAATTAGTATGATACATTTGTCACAATTAATGAAGCAACATTGCTACATTATTATTAACTGAAGCCCACACTTAATTCAGATTTTCTTAGTTTTTACCTAATGTGTTTTTCTGATCCCAGGCAGTTTCTCAGACTTTCCTTGTTTCTGATGATCTTGACAGTTTTGAGGAGTCCTGGTCAGATATTTTGTAGACTGTCCATCAGCTGGGATTTATCTGATTATTTTGCTCATGATTGACTGGGGGTCATAGGGTTTGGGGAGGAAGACCATGCAGATAAAGTGCAATTCTCATCACATCATATCAGGGGTACATGCTATCAGCAAGACTTATCGCTGATGATGTTAACCTTGATCATCTGGATGAGGCAATGTTTGTCAGGCTTTTCCACTGTAAACTCACTCTTTTCTTCCCTTTTCATACTGTCTTTGGAAGGAAGTGATTATGCACGGCCCACACTTAAAGAGTGTAAATTATGCTCCATCTCCTTAAATGGGGAGCATCTACATAAATTATTTGAAATTTTTGTGCATGGTAGCTTTGTCTGTTTGCCTCCACTTATTTATTTATTCAATTATTTATTTATATCAGTACCTGCTGATATTTATTTTATATCCTGGGTTTTAATCCAATACTCCTTTACTTGTTTATTGCTCAAATTGCTCCAGCTTTGGCCATTGGGCTCTTTCAGTTGGCTCCTGTGTGCCTTTGACATACCCCCATCATTGTGAGGTGTTTTTTTTTTAGCACTTCATTACTTTCTGGCACTACAAGATGCTAAAATATCAACTTGTATATTTATTGCCCTCGTCCTAGAATGACCCTCTTCTCCAAGGAGCCTAGGTTCCTTTTATTAGAGAATGTCATTAGAAACACAAAATTGGTGTACTTTTGCTCTTGGGGTGTCATTGCTTCTAGGCACACTCAGCTGATAAAGGAAATATACGAATATATATAATCTGTATATTACACACATACTTATTAGTATTTCTATATGCAACACTGTATCTATATTAAGTTAAACATTCATACTGATGTCTCCAACTCTCACATGGATCATTTTAGCTTCTTGTTTTCTGTAACCTCCAACTCCAACAGTAAGAAAGAAACCTGGCTCCCACCATCTGCTGCCATCCATTTACCTAATTGTTCGATTCCAGTGTACATACATAGTGGTGTCCAAATTGTTCACCTGTACCCTCATGGGAAACATCTTTATTGAGTATAGCGCTTATATACAGTTCCTCTTGCCCTTAGTCTTACAGGCTCCACTCATCTCCAAAGTTACTTAGATCAGCACCTTTTCTCTCCATCTTCTTCAGTGAAGTTGTTCCATACATTTTTAATAGATTGTTTTATCGTATTCTATTCTGGGACCCCCTGACCTCCTAAATGGTTTGGGAATAGTTTTTAAAATTCACAATCTTGGTGCTAAGGGAGCTTTTTGCTGCTGGGATGCCATTATTTCTAGGCCTATTCAATGAACAGAACCAGGAAATAATTTTTTTCATGGCTATAATTTTTAAAGCTTTATTTAGATACTAGAGGCCTGTTGCATGAAGAGATTCGTGCAATAGGCCTTCCCTTCTCCTGGCTGCCGGCACAGGTTTTCCTCCGGCACCCGGGACCCAGGCCTTCGCTCCGGCCGGAGCCGCCTTCAGTCTTCCATCTTCGCTGCTCTGGCTCGCCCTCAGTCTTCCCTCCACCGCTTGGAGCCTACGTATGCAAATTAACCGCCATCTTTGTTGGCTGTTACTTTGCATATGGCACTGATTAGCCAATGGGAGGCATAGTGAAGGTACAGTCAATTACCATGTTTGTCTATTATTAGACAGGGTAATTAACATATCATACAATTCATTCATGTAAAGTGCACAATTTAATGGTTTTAAGTATGTTCACAGAGTTGTGCAACCATAACCACGATCAATTTTAGATTATTTTCATTATCCCACACAGAAATTCTGAATCTA